CGAGCGAGAGGTTGTACAAGCTACACCTTTCAGCGTTTTGTATGATCTTCTGATAATCCTCTGCGGCCCTTTTTTCGAATTTGTTAAGAACATCCCCAAGTAGTATTGCTTATCTGGCCCAACAGTGCTAAGCATGTCTATAAAAAATGATGTATTGAAGTTATAAAAAGTGCGATGAAGCACAAGTTGAAAGTTGGGGTTGGTGAAGTCTCACTGTTTGCTAACTCATTTGCTTCTAAGAAAGTTATGCTTAATGTTGTTCTTAGTAACTTCGAAGAAAGCAAAATTGTTGGATGACAATAAAGACAAGAGAGGTCGGTTTGCCCTCGTAGGAAGGTACTAATCAGTCGGGTACCTTCCACTGAGAGCCTGTTTTTTGAATGTTTCATTATATTAGGCTGTTGCATAAGTTCTGTCCAATTTTTTCTGCCTTATTTTTGAGGCAGCTGTTCTAAGAGAATTTCATCTCTAATGCGGTATTGTTAGTATCATTAGAAAGTGAAAGAAATGCATATCAAATCTCAATGAATTTCTTAGTGTAAGGAGATTTCAGGCCTAAAATCTCCAAGTGGTCGAGGTACGTTGTCACCCTAGAAATATGTTTTTGCGGGGAAACCTCCACAATGCGCCCTTCAAGTCAGGTTTTTTAAATGGTTGCGGAATAAGGGTGTAACAGGCTAGCATACGCATAAGTTCAGTTTCATGAAGAAAACGTCTTGCTAGTAAACTTTATTGTCAGACATTAATTTTCTGTGTAGATGTTTTACAAGCAATAACCTCCTGCGAATAGAAGTAATCGACTTCCAAAGTTGGAGGTGCAAGGGTAAAGCAAGGGCTAGCAGAGATCATCCACCAAATTCACATTTCGGTGCTCACGTCAACTGCAAAATTTTCAAAATTCGTAAATAGGCATGCACACATTCGTAGGTTTCAATATGAACCTGATAGCCAAGGAATTGCTCAACACATGAAAACTAAGATCTTGGGAAAAAGTTGACTTTGAAGGAAGTTATGACATTTTGTACTCAAAAAATTAAAATTGGACAGAACCTACGCAGCAACCTAATAGATAAGAAGCTCAAATTACTCACAAGGGGAATTCGTTTGATCGAAGTCGTCATTTTATGTGACTCCTACACTACTTTGAGGATCAATGAAACATGGTTCCGCATCTGTCTTTGTTATCTGGCAAACTTTTCTAGACAACGAGTCATGAGCGTTTTTGGGATGTAAAATTGAGAGCGACATTCGTTTAGTTTTGCTCAAGTGATTCAGTGTTATCCGAGCACTTTATTCAATAGATGATTCCGTGATACACTCACACTGAACACTGCTCTACTTGGGCGGCGCAGAAAAAACCGTATTGGTTGATTTTAGCTGTATTCTGCGCTCATTTTCTGCTCCAGAAAACATATAAATCGGCTTCCAAAGGCGCTTGACAGATAATGAAAACAGATTTGGAATCAGCGTTTAATGCTCTTTGAATCCATAAAAAACTTATCCAAAAAGGCTATTTCCACTAAACGGACTCCCTTGTTAGCTTCTTGTAAGTTCTCTAAAGTGCCTTGGCATCTTTAGTTTTCTTAGTTTATCTAAGATCAAACTTAGAAACCCTTGCCTTTTCCTTTTTCACTGTACATCAAAATTGTGATTACACCATTTGCAAAACTTCACATGATTACATCATTTGAAAAACTTTACAAACTCTTAAAAACTTGAGGAATTCAGCGCGTAATTTCTCCGATGCTCCCACATTTAGGATTTCTGGAAACTTCTTTCGAAACAGGGCTAACTTGCAATGACGCTGTAAGCCAAATTCCTACCGTTATCTTATCCTAATAAAGAGTGATGGCTAGCGATATATGGCTTGCTCCATACTGTATATCTAAGTTGGAGCCAGCTTTACAGAATGGTATCCGAATTCAGGGAAAAGACTTCTTCGAAAGAGATATCAATGATCAAACAGTGTATACGTAATTTTGGGACACTGTATACTATTTTCTTGAACTAGACCAATATGGGGAACACAAGTAAGTCGGAACAATAGAAGTTCAATGATATTTAATCCGAAAAGGGAAAAGGAGATAACAAACAACATGAATGGATGCAGCAATCAAGAATGTATCTCAGCAAGTAGAGCCGATTGTCTACGGTCGTATCCTATCGCCGCATCTGACATTTGAAAGCTGTAAATAGGCCTTTTAATGATTTAAACGACTTTCTATAAACCTGGGCATAATTCGTATGAATAAAGTGCTTCTTTGCCAAACAGGACTTGTTAGGTGTTCTTTATTTCCAGTCACGACCTAACGTTTCCACGCCTTTCATTTTCCTCAGAGGCCTGAAAATGGCTTAAAGCGTTCTGCGTAGCCTTCGATCAACAATCCTACTTTGAAAATTGCTATGTGAGAGGGTGAACATATCCTGTGAACAGCTATGTGGAGTTCCGCGTCGGAAGTAGTGTTCTTGACGGATGAGATGGACGTTATATAGAGTCAGTTTACACAGAGATATGAAGGGAGGGAAGTCTGTGGTAATTGACAAAAAACATTAAAAGTGATTGGTTGTCAATCACAAACTTCCCTTCATGTCTCTGTAGCAGTGGCGTACCCAGGATTTCCGCTCGGGGAGGGGGGAGGGCGCGACAAAAATTCTTTGGTATTCTTCTCAAATTTTTCGGGGGCCCATAGCCCTAAAATTTTGGAAAAAGGGGGCGGGCGTCAGCCACGCCCCCCCCCGAAAAAATTTTTTTATAAGGCTAAATTGAATTTTTAAAAAATTTTAAAAATTATTTCAATTACTTACAAGTATAAATAAGTCACTTGCACATTTTTATAACTCATGTAAGTAACTTTCAAAAAGTTCGCGAACCGTTCTCGGGGGGGGGGGGGCGCCCCTCGGTACGCCACTGCTGTGTAGATGTATATGACGTCCATTCTATCGGCCAAGACCATCAGTTCTGGTGTAAAATCCCACATAGTGGTTGTCACAGAGTATGTCCATATTCTGATAGCAATTTTTACGGTAGGGATGTTCAACGAAGGTTGTGAATTATCAGAAATGGAGTCATACTTGATGGTTTCATTTTGCAGGTATCTCTTCGAGGCTATTTTCAGGCGTCTGAGGAAGGATAATGCCTAACAAACCTGTTTGGCACAGAAGCACTTTAACACACTGTCGCCTTCTGACAAAATTTAATTGTACTAGGGCCTTTTTAGGCCATATCAAGCTCATCCTGCGCTTATATTTCCAGAAACTAGCTTTTTTGATTTTTACTATGTACTAAACTCATGGACAACATGCAGATCAGTGTTAAAAGAGCACGTCAGTATAGTTTTTTTGGAAAATCTAAACTTCATTCTCTGTTGAGAAGTATTATATATTCTAGGATTCTTAGTTTCTCAAAATTTAAAACCGACTTCTTCATCAAAGTAGACATGGACACTTCTTTATGTTTTTATCCTTGTTTTAGAGTAAAAAGTAGAGTAAAAACATGTTGCCATAATGCATCGGTTAGTTTGAGAATACATTTCTCATGTTTCAATCATGAAAAAAATTATTTTCCATAATGGTATTCCATTTTGGAGAACATTTGATCGGCGAACATTGTAGCGCAAAATTTCAGTCTTGCTGCGGCGTTTTCAAAAATATTGTAGTAGTGGCGTACCCAGGATGGCTCGGGGGGGGGGGGGGGGAGACAAAATTTTATTTCCGATGAAGATGATTGCGTCAGCCACGCACTCCGGAAATTTTTTTGGTGTGCTCCCTAGAATTTTCGCGGACTCAGAACTCCGAAATTTCTGAAAAAGGGGGCGTGGCGCCAGCTACGCCCTCGGAAAAACTTTTTTTATAAGGCTAAAATGAATTTTTCAAAAATTTTAAAAATTATTTTAATTATTTACAAGTGCAAACAAGCCATTTGCACAATTTTATAATCCCTATAAGTGACAAAAATTCGCGACCCGTTCTCGGGGGAGGGGGAGGCCCCGCCCCACCCCACCCTCCTTGGTACGCCACTGTATTATAGGCTTTCACGCAAAACCCCTTCTGTTACCGTAATTACATGGTAATGAGGAGAGATCGGTCTTTTACTGTATAACTAACAAGGAGAGGATACTTAGTCGAAAGCACCAATCCAGATGAGACATATATCATCTTAAAGAGCAAACGCTGATTCCAAATCTACACTTTCTAACTGCGGAGCGGTTTTGTAGAAGGAGTTATGAGGGGTGTTCCACTCTGGGGTTTAGGCGCCCTCCAGCTGTCTCCCCTTATCTGTAAGCATTGTAGAGGAGTATCAGCTGATGGCAACTGACCTAATGGCAAGTAACTTGAATGAAGATTACAGTAAAGATTATAATTTATATTACTTTGGCTTTTCTAACACTTCTAACTTCGATTAGTATCAATATCATCAGAAGTTTCATTAGGAGCTCTAAAGCCATTTAGAAGTTCACTTTAGAATGCGAAGGGGATAAAACCTTGACACTTTATTTATCAAGCACGTCACTTACCACGTCAGTTGCCACCAGCTGGTACTCCTTTACAGTGCTCATAGGTAGGGGGACACTGGTGGAGGGCGCCTCAACCCCAGAGGAAACACCCCTCATGACTCCCTCTACAAAACCGCCCCGCATCTAGAAACTGCAGATTTGAAATCAGCGTTTCAAGCGCTTTAAGACGATATATGTCTCATCCAAATTAGTGCTTTCGACTAAGTATCCTTTCCTTGTAAGTTGAAGCCAGTCCTACAGGATGGTACCCAGCAATCCGCGAGAGCTAATCAAGAATTCCGTCGATTAATTTTTGGAGCACTTCTTTTTTCTACTATTCTGTGAATTGATTTCTTCTACTATTCTCAAATAGCAGAGCACATTTTTAAGTTTTATTTAAACATATTTGCAACAATAAAATTAATGCAAAGTTATATATAATACAGGCCCTCATATATTGCTCATAGATAATTTTTACATCAAGATAACGATTTCTTGATTTTCTGCTTACTTTGAGTAAGAACGAACTGCACGAGTTTTTGCAATTTCACTTTTCTCTACTACAGCTTTAGCTACCTCGTTTCTGACAGTTTTCACCGTTAGTTCTCTCAAAGCGATAGTTTCTTGCATCGCTTCATCATATTGGTCTGTAGGTAGGTCGTACACTAAGGCCGTGGCATGAAGAGCTGAACCCCAACCGAGAGTAAAACCGCTACCGCCGTGTCCGTAATTGTGTACCACCTATAAAAAACCTTTCTGGACAATTCTTACGGTTGAACGGAATCAAGACTTACCTTATAGGACCTTCCATTACTAGTTGTTCTCCTTTCAGCCTCAACTCTGATATCAGAACGTCCTGGGCGGAGGCCTACAAAGGTGTCTAGCACCCTAACGTTCTAAAACTTGAGCGTCAAGCGTCGAACCAAATAAATTTAAAATATCACTGCTATCAACCTTGAATGCAGGCTGTAGGTTGAGGTAACGACACCATAGTGCATCCTTTTCTTCTCCGGTCAGTGTCATGTTGTCTCTGTTCAGTTCCTTGACAGTACCGACATAGACCGCATCGATCCTAAATCCTGCTTTAAAATAAATATACTATATGGCTACTTACGTGGGTATGGTGAATGTAGTGAAGTTTCTGAAGAGGAAGTGTTTGTGCCATGGAGCATCGACTTTGAGCAGAATGCCGCGAATTGGAAATGTATCCTCTGGTATTCCCGCAAGTCGCCCACCTTCGAGACCGGCACAGTTCACAACGACATCGTATCCTTCGTCTCCGAGCTGAATCAAAATGCGCAGTGATATTCATATGTCAACAATTTGGCAAAAGTACCATAGTTAATTTGTTTTTTTTTTGACAGGTTATAGCAAAATTGAAAGCTGAAATATTTGAGCAAAATCGAGGAAGACAACAATAATGTCAATAAACTCCTCAATTCCATGCTAACGTAACACATGCAATGGTCAAAGTGAGATAAAATTTTTAATTACACGGTAAACATTCCAGCAACAACTTTACAAACTCATTTCACTGCGCACATTTTTTTGTAAAAGAGATTAAAATTAGCGGAAGAATAACTCCAGAATCATTATCGTGGTCTCAGAAGACGAAAAAAGCACTGTAAAACCTGACTACTTCTAGATCAGGGAGATGCTTGCCTTTAGAGCATCACGATGGTGAGCACCAATAGAATTTCCTTAAACATACAACCAGTGAATATTAGATTGTCTCAAAAGTAAACTCCTTTTTCAAATAATTCGAGCTGTTTTTGTTTTCCCAGTAAACTTAGGGTACCAATCGATAGAGCAAATCAAGCCCTACAAAATATCTACCAAGGATCCATCGAAGCCGCATTCCATGGAAAGATTGAAGCCAAAATCGGAAAAAAGCAAACTCTGCCCCCAGCCCCTCCCACATATGTCTTTGCATACTACAAGCCTTACTAAGTATAATTCCAAAACCTCACCCCTGCATGTGCTCTTATATTTGAGAAATACCAAGTTTTATAAAAAAAACCGAAAAAGGGCATTTTGGCATTTCCGGACCATCTTTTTTTCTCAATTTTGAGCATTGGAAAAAACCCGCCAAATACATTTTTGGGTACTACTAGGTGTCTACCATACGAAGACCAAGTTGGAAGTCCGTAGAAATTCCCTGGAAAGAGATCCGATGTTTAGAGTAGCCAAAAAATTTTGATTTTTGGCCCCAAATTTTACCTCGATTACGACTTAGGTGGATCTTTGGTAATCTTTTTGTAGAGCTTGCTTCGTTTTATCGAATGATACCTTAAGTCCGTTAGGAGAACAAAACGGCTTGATTTGTTTGAAAATGGAGTTTACTTTTGGGACAACCTAATAGTATTTGCAGTCATCTGGTGAATTTTACGCATTGGTAATGCCCAGCGCAGACACAATAAATTGAATTTACAAAGGAACAGAAATTCGAAAAAATTACTGAACAAATTTGTCAGGAATTGCTTTGGGAATAAATTAGAAGTTTGTTTCAGTGTTCTTCTACTTTGAAAAGAGAAAAAACATCTAAGCTTGATTCAAAGAATGCAAGTTGTTGCCTGTAAGCCTTCCATATAGCATCTGTAAAGCTGTATTCCATCAATCAATTGAACTTAAGCATTTGTATTTATCGTGTTATTCACAGACTGTCAAAATAAAAATCAAAAATCAACTATTATTATCAGTACAACCCCAGTTTTAGTGACAGCCTCCCTTAGCTCGGTTGTGGTCCCTTCGAATTCACTTCTCAACTTTTCGTAGTCCCGCTGAAATTTTTCTCAAGTGCAATAGCTGCGCTGTATTTTGCTCAACACTGAGGTCCTCTGACAATAAGATATTCCCGTCAAAACTGGATAATGTTATACCTCATCAAGGTTGTTGATTTTCCTCAGAACGAAGAGGACGCCTTTGTCCACCAGCTGGTTCTTCATCCACGGGCAATATTTAGCACCTTCGGACGTGAACGCCGTATAGTGAATGGCGGATGACTCCCTGATGGAAAAAATTAGGTGAGGTTCATTTCACGATTAATTTGATGCAGTGCGCAACAATGTAAACGTAGCTTACAGAGCAAAAAAACTCACTCAAGGTTATTGCCTGAAAATTGTGATCTTTTCTCGTCGTCCGACAGAAATCGGAAGTTGTAGACAATATCTGCATATGCTCGCTCCTCAAAAAAATTAGCGATTTAGGAGCCTAGAAGTCAAAAGCAAGTCCTTTTGTTCCGTTTACCTGGTCTATGAGTAGATTCCTATCTTCTGACAGAATATGTCCAGAAAGGAGTTGTACACCACTCACGCCACCCACGTTTCGCCATAATTGGGCAAGATGAGTGAAGGTCTCATTGCCGTATAACCTAACATTTGTTTTACTGATTATATGATTTTTTGTATAACGTCTTCTAGTTTACCTTTGTATCGGTGTCGGCTCGTCGATTCTAAAAAGACCTGCTATCCCTCTACTAAGGATGTTTTCAAACGGACGATCATGGAATATTGTAATCTGAAAAGGATGGGTCTTTACTTTGAGGGGCTTTTATTGCGAAAGCTTATACAATTCTTTCTCAACTTGTCTCAACAGCAGAAAACGTTTTAATGACCATTTTGAATAGCAAAAATCATTTTCTTTTCTATTTTACTGCGCGCATGTGGATTTGACTTTTTAAAAATGTCTTCAGCCTCTCACAACTTGTTTTCAATGCTGCGCGGAGTTGCCCGTGCCAGCCCCGTTTCAGCACGTGCTAGCGCCTTGCCGAGTTCGCATGTAATCGCACCATCAATCAGTCGACGTCCGGGGCACGGCTATAACATGGCGCTGGTAGGAGCGACTATGAAAGCAGATTAGAATCTGCCGGTGTCTGGACAATTTTGCTGTTTTCACTTTTTGAAAGAATAAGTAAGTACGAAGAAGGATTTTCAGGAAATAATTTATTTTAATGAGTGTTTACAAGCAAGAAGAGATGAAGTGAAGTGCGCGTTGTGCAAAGTCAACACATAAATTCGCAAATGGCTCTAGGTAAATTGAGCGGGGTTCGGTTGGGGGAAAAAATTTAAAGATAAGATGTTTGTGAGCCAGTCGTTTTCCAAAAAATTTTTCCCATGAATACAAGAACTCGATAATACCAATCTTGCTAAAAATCACTGCCCCTAGAAACGATCAAGTATTGCACCAATCACACAAACCACTCATATTTTAAACCCGAAGATGAAAGTCGAAGGACGTTTGCAACTGGAACCAAGTCTAGAAAAACACTAACCTGTGCTGCTGGGTTATGCTCTTTTATCGCTAACGCCGTTGACAATCCAATCACGCCTTCCCCAATGACGGCAATTCTTTTTGGGTTTGGTGCTGTCGCTGTTACTTGATGTTGTGGGTCGATGGCCGATACAACTGAAACCTTGAAGTATTTACAAATTAATGGTCAGAATTTAATTGTGCAAACACCGGATTGAAAAAAAACTGAGCATGTCCGTTTCCGAGTTTAAAGAAGAATTGCCTTCAAAATTCTTCATTTCATAATAATTCATTGAGGAGTTGGGGTATTTTCGATGCCTCCGAAAGGTTTCGTTATGAGAACTTGTGAAAGCTTTTCTAGAGGCTTTGCAGAGATATCAGTAGCGGACCGAGGAGGCAAGCCTTTCCCCTCCCCATTTCCCGAAAATGAATCACGAATTGTTTGGAAACTAATGACATGAGGTGTATTTGACCAAGTGGCTTACTTATACTTGTAAATAATCAAATCATTTTGACTCGAAAATTCAAATTAGAGAAATTTTTTCAGGAGTTTAAATACCGGCATCCCCCTTTTCCAAACTTTCGGGGTTATGGGGCCGCAATTTGGGAAGCACCCGAGAGAATTTTCCGAGCACGTGGTCAATTTTTAGTCCATGCAGTTTTTCTAAAAAAATTATTGTCACGTCTTCCTCCCCCCCCCCCCTCTGAATCCTGCGAGTGCACTGGTTCATATAGATGTTGTGGTCGTAATCCTCAAGCATGGGCTACATGGTCCAAAAACATGTAAAAATATAATCTTTGCGTCACATCGTTCATTGTTGCTTGTGCATGATGAACGGCTGCTAGAACATTTTTTGTCCCTCTCTGTAAATATAACGGAGTTGCATCCAGTTAAAGCTGCTTTGGAATATTAAAAACAATGTTGAAAAACTTTTTTGATTTTCTTTCATGATGTGTCATTTTCAATCATGGTCTCAGATCACGAGATACTTTTGCTTATTTAAGACTGCAAAAAAGGATGCCTGTTTTGATTGCTTCTTCCTGAGCTTCAATGTACTTCATAATTTCTTTGATTAATTGCATTGTCATGTCAAAGAACGAAATTACACTTTTGTTAGCTACATTACTTGCGGTTTTTTTTGAGAATGACGAATTAAAAAGCGATCGCGCTTCAAACATATCTTCCGAACAGATTGTGATTCAATAAGAATGCTGGTTATCGCAAGACAGTTGAACAAAAAAGTTGAAGGCAATTTGGAATGTTGGACAGGTGTTTGATGCTGATAATGTCCTACTGGAAGACATTATGAGCTTTTTTATTCTTATTGACGTCTGCACAGAAACGATGCCATGAGAATGGTGGTGCTTTTCGTAAAAAAATTCGTTTCAATTGTTTCTTGGAGAAAGAATTCAGTACGGCCATTACGACATTGAAATATAGGTTATACAAATTAGCCGAAAAAAATGACTCCCGGACGCGGTTTGCTGAGCTTGATAAGGAATGCTGTTATAACTTTATTGGCTGAGTCTACGTTTCGGCAATCTACGCCTTCTTCGGAGTCTGGAAAGGTCAAGTTATAGATGTAATTGACTATTCATTCAGACGTGAGCAGGGCCCGGCACGAGGTGGGCAAACGGGGTTTTCCAAAACGAATTCCCCTTTGATCCCAATAAATTTTACGAATACCCCATTGAGCCCAAAAATGACGTTTTGTGCTTGTGCGACGAGATTAGCGGCCACACTTCGCCTAAAAGCGCTCAAAAGCGCCCAAATTGCTCAAATTCCTCAAATTACTCCTCAGCTGTATCAAAATAGAAAACAGGAAGAAAAATAAGCAAGAAAAATGATTAAGGAATGAGAAAATATCAAAGAAACGCAGTCATAGGAATGAGAGACGCCGTTCCCGCGCGTATCGATTGACTGGGGCGCGCTTTCTATCTTAGAAAGCTAGGCTGCTGATGCGATTTTGGGCTCTAACAAGGGCAAGAGGAGGAGTTTCGGAACCAAAATTTCACCATGTAGTAAACTTTAGGTGTACAACAGATTTATGTAAAAATTTTGAAAAAATTATGTGAATTGAGAGTTTTGCCGACCTCAGGTGAGAATTAGGTCGGCAAATGCCGACCTAATTTGGAAATTAGTTAAGCACGCTCTTCATTCACAAAAGTTTTTCATAATATTTCATACTTTATTACTTAGTCCTATTGCGCATATACACACCGAAACCCGCGCGACTTCGTTGCCTCTGCGTTGCAAACGAGCCATTTTTCCATTTCTTTGATAGCGCAAAATTTTCAGAAAAACGTTTGCCACAACCTTTAGTCACATAATTTTTCAATGAAACTCCTCAGTTAAGCCCTGCAAGCACGTGTGCATGTACTTACCAAGTTTCATACCATATCGTTCATCTGCGCGTTCCAAACGAGCCGTTTGAATTCACATCTTCATTTACCAGTTTTGCAAAATTCTCGGAAAAAATGCTAATTACTCGTTCCGTTCACATAAGTTTTTCATAATTTTTCATACTATGTTTCCACTAGCCTCTCTCCGTTTGCATACAAAATTTGGTGCCATATCGTTACACATACATTGAGAACTAGTCATGTATGCAGTTACAAATAGCATCTCTTGGGCGACGTCGCGCGTGCGGCAACTATCGACGCCGCGGTTTGACGCGCGCGAACTCCGGTGTTCGCCTGTTGAGGCACATAACATGTCAAAATAAGTAGCGAGCATGAACTACCAATTTTTTTCTGGGGCTCCGCCCCGGACCCCGCAAAAACGATTTCCCCTTTGCTTTTTGGCCCCAAAACGATTTCCAGCTTGTCATTTGCCGACCTCGTGCCGGGCCCTGGACGTGAGTGTCAGGAAAAATAAAGGTTGGAGGCACAGTTTTGCGCAAGGTGGTCTATTCTCTCTACATTTGGCTCTAATAGTGTGTCTTTGGGTGATCTCCTCGCGTTTATTTTGTCCCTGGTACTTGAGTTTAATTAGATGAGAAATTACAACTTTTCTTTTCACGTTTTGAAGAAGGCTTAAAAACTTCGACGCCAGCCAATAAAGTCGTAATGCCGACCTTGATCAAGCTCAGCTACTATATCAAAAATTCAGAATAATGCCAAGATTCAGGGAGAACCGAACTTTTACCATACTAGTCCATGGCTCTCCCAGAAATTCAATCGGCAGCATCCAAATGTGAGTCGAAAATTTTGTCACTTATCTTTTTTTCCTGGGCAAATGAAGAAAGTAGCACATTATAGAGGACTCTTCTCAACAATTGTAAAAAAAAGCTAGTTTTTGATTTGGCAACTTGGAAGAAGATCATAAATGACTACATTATTTCTACGGAATATGCTCATTTTCGCGGAAATTTGCGGGATATTCGAATTTCAAATACAAAACAGCTACGTGATCCGCAAAACTTGCAGGATCGCCATCACTTCTCGTAAATCAGATATGTGTCTAATCAGAAAGCAGATTCAAACTCAGCTTATGAGAGAGAAAAATGTTTTTGTGTACAACCGTAATCAAGGCGGAAACGGTACTGCTGTATGATAATTTTCGTTCGTGTTGGGGTTATAGCGTGTGGGTTACATTTGCTGTAACTTGTGCGAACTTCGCCAATTTGCGGATTTCGGATCACTCAAAAATGGACACATTCCATACTCATAACTTTATTTACGTCTCATATTTATCTAAATCTAGACGACAATAAAAAGTATTAGGTTGGCCCGAAAGTTCTCGTTTCATTTTTGAAAATTCATAACTTAGCGCTGTCTCACCGGATTTGCTTGAATATATATTTGTTAAAAAGAGCAAGTCTTTCTCTTTCAAACGGATCTTTGCCTATTCCCTGCTTTGCACTGACTGCGGAGATAAAAATAGAAAAATAAGACCATATAAACTTTGCTCATTTTAACTTAGGTCGCCAAAAATCTGGAAAGCTGCAGAAAATCTGAAATCCTCATCACATAAGTTTTTTGACTCACTCTTTCCAGCTGTAAAAAAATTGACTTGTTTGGACGTCTTTGTGAGAAGTTACGAATTACCAGTTTACTACAGAAAACACCAAGATTAATTAATTTGACACTTTTCTCGAAAATCATAACTTTTTAAAAAGACGTCCAAACGGGACGAATTCTTCACAGTTGGAAAGAGTAGGTCAAAAAATGTGTGCACCGGCGATTTTAGATTTTTCTGCACCGTTCCCGATTTTTGGCGATTTAAGTTAAAATGAACAAAGTTTATATGGTCTTTTTTTCTATTTTTTATCAGTACTTTTAGGCCAACCTAATAACTACTAAAGATTGGTGTAGGGTTCTCGAGGAGGTGAAAAGGACACTTGACTGATTTTTGGTTGATTTGTTGGAAGCCTTAAGCGAAATTTCAAATGAAAAAAACTATAACGATTTTTCCCGCTCGTATGATATGCGCTGATCTAATATAAGCTAGTTGTTACAAAACCTTATTGAACCTACATTAATGAGACCGAATAAACGTTGATGTGACCTACTGCACATCTAACTAATACAATTTACTGTAGCACAGAAATGTTACCTGAGATTGTCATTGCCAAAATATGCCACAACGTCCGTGCACCCATCTTGCCCTAAAATTCTGTTTTAGCAATAGCAATGAAATCAACATTCTGAACTGAGAGATCAAATGGAGCGGAACACAGGGTGAACTGAAGTCAGCTTTGAATGATGTCGTGAGTAATGAATTTGGATCACATGCCAATCAAGCTGCTCCCTTTTATGTTGTTAAAACGGATGGACGAGTTTCTCAAATCAGAACAGCATCATCAGAAAAAACACAACGATGAGTGCCATTCGTTACGCTTCTTATTGAGTGTAAACCCGTCCGGCGGCCTCATTCACACGTTAATAATAAGGATGAACGATTCGTTTATAAGTATACATGAGTGGATTTCGAATAAATCAACGCACTCGAGGAGATATTACATGGAATGACAAGCTTAGAGATTTGTGGCCGGATTGTACAGGCTCAGAGGCTTGAAGGATTTAGATATTACAAGAGAATTACAGTTGCAACGGTTCTTAGAGAATAAAGGATGAATGGAAACGATCATGCCTTACAGCGCAATCAATAACGAGTTGAAAGTAGGTCGTGTTGTTCTGTTGCGACGCTTGTTACTCCTTTTCTCAGTGCTGACTATGCTAAAATCATGGATCAAGAAGTAGTGTGATGGAGAGGAAAGTGATTTATAGAAATACTTACTCCCTGAAAAACTAGGTTGATTGCAAATTTTGTCAATCTTTTTATAGAAGCAAAATCAAATGCAAACGTAAGACATTGGTTTGAGATGTGTTCTTGATGTGGTAATGCCAGCTACAAACACGCAAATCAGATTGGAGACTTTAATGTACGCGGCACATAACACCGCAAGGATAAGCAATTAGGACGCGAAAGGCACTAAAAGATAATATTTCATGATCCCTTGATTCATAATTTATCTGATGACCGCTCGCCATTCTCAGGCTCAAAGGCACCGTCCACCCTAAGTTGAGGGGTTTGACTTTTTGGTAGCATAGGGTAGTAAGGTTCCCTGTAAAGCCAATGCCCAAGTGCAGCGCAAAATGTCGCTTCGGAAGCGAAAAAATCGCTCCGGAATAACGAAGATGCACGAGGATCCCCAGACGGCACCGCCCTCCCCATCCATGCCCGCCCATCCGTGCGCGCCCAGCCAATCACCGTTCCGGAAAGCAGGCTGCGGGTTCTCCGAAATGGGGAAAGTTGGGGTTTTCGCGGATTCTCGACTTCATATTCGAAAATCAGGGCATGAGAAGGCCAAAACATGGAAGTCAAGAATCTGAGTGGACGATGCTTTATCAGTGTTTGTCTTTCTTTTGAGAAGTCAAGGCTTCTTAAAGAGGAAGCTGAGGAGAAAAAGGACTTACAAGGGAACCATATTTAATCGAAGTGGCTTTTTTGAATGGAATTTATAGCTAGCTATTGGAGAGCGTAAAAGAATGATTTCAAATCTACCTTTCTTGCCTGCAAACCATTTATGAGCGGAAAGTTACGAGCTTTTATTAGAACGAAAATTACATGTGCTAAGACAAAAAACTGTCGTAATATTTTTCTAGCGCAGTGAGGATTACCAGAGAAATGTATTCAATGGATACTCTCAGACAAAAAAATATATCACACTTTGTTGCTTTTGAAAGCTGGTAAAATCTTAAAAACTCATTCTACCCTTAATTCACATTTAATTTTTTACTCCAATAAATTATGACTTTTCATCCATAAATATGCTCTTTAAATGGTGTACATCCCATCTAAAAAAGCCACTTGGCCTTAACATGGTCCCTTGTGAGTCAGATAGGTAAGCTGGCCCACGTCCCTGGCAGGTGAAAAGCCAGGTAAATTATTATCATAGAATGCAAGGTGAGGAAAGGCGTTCTGTGGAATGAGTGTAGGATGTGTTAGACTTGGATAAAAATGTTATACATCTATTGTATCGTGGCTTTGTTATGAGATAGTCATATCCGCGAGACACGCAAACCGAAGAAATTCTGCCGAAATAGTAAGTTGAGAAGCTACAGGACTCGCAGAAGCTTGATCAAGAAACTGTGCAAAACCCCTTCGTATACTTAAATCTAGCGACGTCCGACCACTATCTGCTCCCATGCTTGAATTCTTCCAAGCAAGATATACCTTTGTTTCAAACGTCCAAAGCTCTTGACTAGGTCGTATCGTAATGCAGCCATCGAGCTTTTGAGAAAACGACATCCGCGACATGTTCCAATAGCCTGGGTTGCCAGTACACATAGCGAGTACAGTAAAACATACTTTTGACGTGTATATATGGACAAACAGGGTAGTCCAATCTTAATAGGCAGAAGTCCTCGAACAACCTACTACTATGATAGAAAGGAAGAGGGATTATACTAAATGCAAGATCATTGCCAACAAGTGGCTATGTGTCAAAAGTTTACCCCAGCGAACTGTTTCAAAATTATTGACATCTAGTCATTGAGATTTCTCCGGAATTATTGTTCTAGTGCTGAATATCCTTTATGAACTTTCCTTCTTATGAGAATGTTTTTTTTGCCTTTGGAGTAGGTGTCCATCCTCAGCTTGTGTTGAACTTACGGCCTATATACGGCTAAGCAATTAAGTAAATGAGTGAACGGGTAGTTAAATAAATAAATATCTAGCAAAGGCCACAACTCCCAGCACTGTACATAATCCAGAGCGCTAGGAGGAAGGAAATCCTGCAAAACGCGCACTAAAGCTGCAAGTGATCTGGAAGTAATCCACGAATATGGATCACTTCCAGACCTTGATCATCTTTTGCATCCTACCTTACACCAGTGACTTTAGCTCATACATTCGGTACTTTAGAGACAGGACTTTCAAAGCGAAAGTTGTTTGGATATTTGCCAATCATAAAAAAGTGAATGTTGTTTGTGGGAATCGGAGAAGAAAAAAGATGCAAAACAGATAGCAAAAACAAAACAAACACTTAAAAACCAGTGGCGTAGCGAGAGGGGGGAGGGGGAAGGGGGGGGGGTGAGGGGGGGGGGAGGGCGTCGTTTCCCTCTGAGAACGGGTTGCGAAATTTCTGAAAGTTACTTACATGGGGTATAAAATTGTGCAAATGACTTGTTCATACTTGTATGATTGTCTCCACGATTCGTGTAGAGGTGTATTGCAGACTTTGCCTGATAACACAGGTAAACTTGTTAAACCTCCATCATAGCATTGTTCTTCGAACTCTCTCGCTATCAAAAACCGCCACACTTTGAGTTGGCAAAACTCCGCCTCTACACGAATTGTGGAGTTGATGATAAATGATTAAAGCATTTTTTGAAGCTTCGAGAATTATAAAAAAAATCCAAGCACCCTCATTAGGAAAAATTTTTTGTTGCCCCCCCCCCCTCTCCCCCCTCCCCCGAGCCGAAATCCTGGGTACGCCTCTGCTAAAAATCTCATAAAAACGCGGCAATGATTCTGATATTTTCCATATGGCGGCATTCCGAAGTGCAGATTTTCACCTCGATTTAAGGAAATCCACAGCACGGGGGGAAATGAGGAGAACTTAATTTCTTCTCTGTAATTGTTTCAAATATATCGTGTTTCGAAAGTGGTAATTCTCAGAAAGAATATAAACAAGGAAAGGATTACGTTATGAAAACGCAATATTTTAATTTTACTTAGTCGAGGTTCGCGTCGGAAACAACCCAGTCTTTGCGTCCTTTTTCTGGGATGTTGTTTGGATTTTGCGCTCGTTATTCTAAGCAATAATCGCCCAAGTTGGTAAAAAACGCTGCGAAGCATCGAAAGAGAACAAGGTAAAGAAAAACATACTTTTACAGTTTTTTTTACGAAAAAGTCCGGCATTATCGGAGAAGTAAGCTCTGAGAGGTTGTCTACATTATAAACTGGAGCAAGATCTATCAAATGCACGAAAAAACCGCGCGAAAAAAGATGAACTAGAGGAAAAACAAGATCTTTTTGAAAACACGGCTTTTGCCAGGTTTCTCCTTCAAACCCAAAATAGAGGTTTGGGGCGTTATCGGCATGAAAGTAGAAATTAAGAACTTCAAAATGCTTACAGTTCGATAAAAACTGGTTCCAGAACAACGAAATAAAGGTACCAGAGCCAAATGCCCAGTGCTCCGCGTTTGGGGTAGCGAGATAGCGCACAACGCGCGGATACGCAGACGAGCAAAGACCAAGCCAACGAGGCATTTGGATCTGGTCGTAGATCTCGCGGCGTCTCGACGATACTCCCTGCAACATTATATACCTCTAGCTAGCTTACCCGGCTGCGCCCGGCCCTGTCACAACATTGTAATAAAGGTCCCATTCCTATCTCTGTACAGCCTTTCCCTGTGCCCACTTCATTTCCCGTCTGTGTTGTTTTCGAAATCAGCATGCCCACTTACCCCCTGTGCTAAATCCCAGCCCCGTAGCTTGAACTTCGCAAAAGATTGACAAAATCAATAAAATAGTCAGCATGCTCACATACCCCCCCCCCGTGCCATTCCCAGTCTCCTGGGTGAACTCCGCAAAAAATCGATAAAAGTCATAAAATCAATACTGATCGATGGCAAAAGTACAAACGCCCCCTGCCCCGAAGTATATGTGTGTCAATTTTGATCCAAATCTGTCCAGACATAAAAACTTCAATTCCGCACATACTCAGACAATCGCCGGGGACAGGCGGGCACCAGAAAAATAGATGACTGATTTCTCGAATCCCTCTCGCGGATTTTTTTGAGAGACAATCAGGACTTTTCGGAACGTCGCTTGCTGAATTCTCGATTCCTCAGAGATTCAGCAACATATCTGCAAAAGATAAGAGCGGAAAAAGATTCAACAGGGGGTCTCTCAAAAACTCGCTAACTATTTGGAATTTGCGAGCGGGATGCGAAATTTCAGCAACGCGTATTTTCCGGTGCCCGCCTGCCCCACGTACAGACATACAGACACACATTCAGCTTTATATATAAGATTGTGATCGTCATAACAGACTAAGATCACTGACAGCGTCCTAAGAGTTGGAAATCACTCACTAACGCGACAAACCAGCATTTCCCTGTGGAAATTTCTGCGCAAAATTTAAGCGCA